ATGTATAGTGCAAGAACAAATTGAAAATTATCATTTACAAAAGATGTTTTATTTTAACTTTGCCATCTAGGCCTATTTCCAAAAACAGGCAAATACGGTGTGTTTGTGTGTGTGTGTTGATGGGAGAGGGGTGCGGGTTGACTAAATTGATTGTGTATATGGCAGCTTTCAAGAAGTTTCTGCCTAATCAAATATAAATAAACTTTGCACATTTTGAAAAAATTCATCAAAAACGCTTTACACTAATTTGAATAATATTATTTTTTGTTAATCTATATTAGAAAATAGATTTAAAAAGTTCCAATTACGTACAAGTAGAATTTTTAGCGAGGATTTAATTTTTGGCATTATTAGCGAGGGTGCTGACATCGCTAAAATTGAATACCGCTGAAAATTAATTGCTTATTATTTGTAAAAGCTTCTTGAATTAGCATTTTAAAATCGCTAAAATTACTTCTCGCTAAAAATAAAATAACAGATTTTAGGTAGAAATCGCTAAATTTGCGTTTCGCTAAAATTTCCACTTATACAGTATGTGCCAAAAATTTATACACCCCCCCCCCCTTTATCAAACCTAATTTACATTATTAATTTAATTCTGTTGTTTTTTTCCGACTGGTAATCAATTATGAATATGAAATACCAATAAGATGGAGTCCCATGGGTCACATGGTCACTAGCTGCAAATCTGTAGTGTTATGGTTTTATATATTAGTCTTTGACCATAAAGCTACAAATCCTGTAATGCAAAAAAGGTGCAATTTACGGCGCAATATTTTTTGCGCACTTCTGGGGAGATTTTCTCCACTTTCCAGCATCGGTTAATTTACTACCTTTCACTCCCTAATTCTAGGCACATTGTTTAACTAATCTGTATATTTTATCCATCTCCAATCCTTTTATAGTCGTCTCTACACGTGATAAATTCGCTTGATTAAAATTATTTGTTAGATTGCTGAAAATTCACATCAAGCGAGTTTATTGACTGTAGAGATGACTATAAATGGCTGGGGGGTAGACAAAATATACATATTGGCTACAGAATGTGTCTAAAATTAGGGAGTGAAAGGTAGTTGATTGACCAATGCTAGAAAGTGGAGAAAAACTGCCCAAAAGTGCGCAAAAAATATTGCGCCGTAAATTGCACCTTTTTTGCATATGGGGATCTGTAGCGTTATGGTCAAAGACAAATATATAAAACCATAACGCTGCAGATCTGCCGCTGCATGGTCACCTGAGCATATTATGCTCAATTTGATGAATACATGTATTATGTAAATTATTGAATTATATTGACTTTTTCCTTGGTAAAGCCCAATATGAAGAAGTGTGCATTTAGAGGCAAACACCTTAGTGCGGGTATTACTGTCTCATGACAGCATCTAGTTCTTAATTATGTGTATAGAAGATTCTTTTTATATTGAATATTGATCACACTGTAATGATAATTTTATGAGTTTGTACAAGCTAGACCTAATAAATTTTTTTTTCATTTCACATGCTGAATACTATCATTTAGTTGAAAAAAAGTATTTCGGAGAAAAAAAGAAAATGAATCGCCCGGGAATCGAACCCGGGACCGATATTGTCAAAATTTTACACAATGCATGGTGTCTAATTAACCTTTATTAAACAGTTTTCATAGATGTAATATGAATAAAAAGTCCGCCGAGAACCTGTTTTATACGTAATAACTCTCCTCATGCCCCTGTGCTAAAAATAGCGACATGTAATACAATAAATACTAATAAAACAAACGGGGCGGGACACCTTGAGAGGGGTGAGAGAGTTCCTAGGGAGTTTGGGTATAAAATTACCTTGCAAAAGCTCAAACTCCTCTTGAAATATCGCCCGGTAAGGATAGTGTTAAACACAGAGAGAATGTATAAATTTACGACCTTGAACTTTGACCTTTAAACCTCAAACTCAATAGGGTTCTTCCTTAGGCCACAGGGAGTTGTGAAATTTCATTGCAAAAGCTCAAAGGGTTCTCGAGATATCGCGCGGAAGCGAAAGTGTTATAACAGACAGAATTTGCGAGTTTATGACCTTGACCTTTGACCTTTTGACCTCAAAATCCATAGGATTCTTTTTTAGTCCATCAGGAGTTGCTATGCAAAATTTCATTGCGAAATAGAGATATCGTGTGAAAACGAAAGCGTTACAGACAGAATGACGGATGGACGGACAGACAGATCCAAATTAATATCCCCCACTTTTCAAGCGGGGGACAAAAATATGAGTATGATTGTCTGCTGTATAAGCAGAAAAGCCCTATCTTGATGTGACGTTATTACGCGCAAACGTCACCGTCATGATTGGTTGGAAACCATTTAATTTACTGTCTGACAACCAAAAAACATTTTTGGTTGAAAAGTTAAAAACACACTGCACAGCAACATGTTGTTGCCTTTTTATTCACTTGTGCAATTCAATTACTAGACCCAATGTAACTTCCGTCAGCCATACCTTGATTTCAAGAAATTTATACTGACTGCAACGATGGAAAAACGATGTCTACAACTCTAATGCATCGTTTGGCACCAAAAAATGTGATCACAAAATTGTCATCATCAATATGCACGTGTTTTTGACTTTTTATCACTTTCCCTGCGTGACGCCATACATTTCATGGTTGAATAGTTTTGACCAGCGACTTAAGTGCAAAGTAACCAAAATGCACATCTGACCAATTTTCATAATTTTCGGCCACATAGTCAAAACATTTTCACAGATTATGTTCTTATCCGTTTCTTTTTCCTTTTAGTATATTATAAAAATATATATAGATACTCTGAAAATTTTTAGTCATAAGTTGATAGTTGCTGTCAATCTGACGAACAACATTTATTTACAATGAAAATCAATTAATATTGCAGAGAATGTCATTGGAACACTTTTTTTCTGTCATTTTATTTTCCATTTTCACTTCTGATACACGTCAGTTAAAATGCATTAAAGAGGTAGTCTGATATTTTAAAGAAACTTTCTGTTTTTATTATTTCGTATGAATGTATTCATATTTATCGATGAGATGTAGTTGGCAAATAGCTCTTCAGATCTAAGGTTCCTCGTTGACTTAATCGAGTTTAAATGAATATAATATTATTTTAGCTATCTAGCAGCCTTAAATAAAAACAAAATCTCGTTATTCTTCTTTGATCGTATAAATGAAGCGTTCAATCTGAATAATGTTATATTAAATAAATTGTTTTTGTGTAAGTTCCTTTCACAAACGTGACTTTACAATTTAAAAAGTCAATATTTTTAAATGAATCCATTGCCCTTAATAAAGAAAAGGTAGTAAATTTAATTCTGATTTGTATATCGCTTAACTTTGTTATGTAAAATTCAAAACATTCTATAACTAAGCCCGGCCTCAAAAAAAAAAAAGAAAAAGAAAAAAAAGAAAAAAGAAAAGAAAGTGTTAAAGCCGCTTAATCCGAAACAGGCACGTCTTATCTTACACAATAAAAGTATGTCATTACATAGATAATATATAAAAATAAATTAAAAGATTGATTTAATAGTTTATTACAAAAATTCTTACATGGAAAACATATATCAAAAACCTTATCGACAAACCCGAGTATGTTTTTTCCTTAGTAGAAAGCCTAAGTCATAATTATATATCTCTTAAAAATTTAGAAATTAATTGAATATGATCCATGGTAATTTTTGTATTAATATGCACATTTAAAGAATAAAGAAAAATCAGATATTTTTAAACATTTTTTTTTAAAGGAGGCTAAAATATTGTCCATGTACAGGTATAAGTACTTTGTTGTGAAAAATGAGATATAAGCGATAAATTTAATTTTTCGAAAGCGATTTCACACGATATCAACATAGGATTATTTTTGTGTGACCTAACAAAAATTATATAACTTTTGAATTTTGATATCTTTTAAAAGAAAAAGACTTTAAGTATATAATTTGAAAAAAGTTGAAACAATTTATGGACAATTATTTTTCAAGAAGAAAAACAAATATATTTTGTTCGCGATTAGAATCGGACTAAGCGGCTTTAAGCAGTTTCAGTCGACTGTTATGTAATAGGGTCGTCTTCCATATGATCATGATTTCGAGTTAAAAAATAACATTCAACAAGAACAAGTGTTATGACCAAAATAGTTATATTTTCCACGGACAGGATGTGAACGAGGTTTAAATATACACTTAAAATGAAGATACTCTGACCAGCTTTGTTTGACATTTAAATACAATTCACAATTATCACGAATCTGTTTTGTGGGCTCGGAGGTAGTTATCAGAAAATATAAGTATGAATTAATTAAAATGTAAACAATTGAATAAGAGAGTTGTTTCATAAATACAGTTGACAAAAAATATTAACAGTTTTCTCTTTATCATTAAAGAAATAAAAGCACATTCTTAGCACATATATCTTAAGTAAAACATCAAAGTACAGACAATGGACTTTCCTTTTGTATTTTTTCTTCGTATATACCAATTAATTCTGTTAAAATAAATGCATCTGGGAATCCCAAATGTATTTTAATTATCTTTTAGACTGCAGGTAGAACTAAAGATTTACCTTGTGCACTTCTTAATGTTTGATTATAAAAGCGCGTATATGTATACAGGTAAATAAGAAGAGTTCTGTTTTGTTTTTAACTTTTTTAATGATAATTGTATAGAAAAGGATTTTTAACTTTGAATAAACTGGAGAAATTTGAAACCTTGCAGGATTTTACATTCAGTTGCAAGGTACAGTTTTTGCAAAATTTGATTTGTTAAAGATTTCAAAATTTTCATCCTTTAAAATGTCACATTCTGAATACGAGTTCATGTAAACAAACTTAATATTTTTTAATGAATTTAAATGAATCGTCACTTATTTTGTGGGATTTTCCTTTTTACGTCAAAATTCTTCTGCACAATATGTTAATTCTATGAGAAAAATTATTGACGTATAGCTGTGGATTTTTTGAAAATTCGCTTTCGAATTGTATATAAATTAGCAAGGACGTAGAAAT